TTGATGGGCCCAACACAAACCAAAATGTGGGTAATTTATTGGCTGGTCACATATCACAGGTATTGAGAAAGTAAGCAGAGGCAAGAATAACCACCAGTGGCCATGGGCAGGGCCTGGAGTCAGTCAGATCAGGATTTGTCCATCCCTTCCAATCCCTGTTTATGAAATCACTTACTTCATTCTCACTGAGAACAATCACACCCAGGGTGTTAAGAACTGCAATTTCAAGTTGGCTAAACAGAGGGTCATATACCCAGCAGTGACTTCTGGGAATCTAGAAAGAAAGAATGAAATTTATTTCAACTCCAAACATCTATGTGCAAGACCAGGGGAAGGGGAAATAAAGATGAATCTAAAAATTTACCTGGCACTTTTCCAAGAACAGAAGCAAAAATGACAGCTGGTTTCTAGCTATGATGCAGGTGGCAAAGTTCCCAATACCGTAACACACACATTTCAAATGGCCTGGTCTTGTGACCAGGTTCTCTCCTGGGATGGAGCCAGGGGCCATATTTGATTCATTTGATGAGTCAAGGTGCAGGTTTCCAAGGACATTTGAAAGAGTCCCCATAGGGGACTTCAATTGTTCCAGGTGTTTTGTAAGACATCTGTTGATGGTGTCTGAAAGAGCAGGTCCCCAAATGCAGTCAAAGGGCATGCTCTGACCCCAAGAACCAAATCACTCACAAAAATAAGTCCACAGACCCAGGGAGAAAGGGAGCAGTAAAGGCTTTAACTCCTCAGAGAAAAGCCACTGGCCTCACTCCCACACATGCCTGGGACATGCAGCAACGTCAGGCTGTCCGAACCCCTGGACTCCCATGGCCCAAAATCCAAGATGATGTTTCAAGCAAAAAATAGGCTTCATTCATGGGCCCAGTATGCATCTAAAACTGTAGTGAGGACTAACCCCAATTTAACAGGAGGCTCCTACCAAATGTAGACTATGTTCTGAAATGCCAATTTTTTTTGATTATAACAAAGAATAGAGGAGCATAACTCTCAAAATCATACTATAAATGGCTAGGAGTAGGAATATTTAATATATAAAAAGTACAAGGAAATAAAGGTAGTCTGGGCACTTTGAAAAATACTGTTTAAATCTCATATAGTGGGTTCTCTTGCCTCTCCTTTTACTATTCTGGTATTGAATTTAGTTGGACAAATCTGTAGGCAAAACAAAAAGTCATATAGTCTAACAAAAACATACCAATTTTTCACTTATTAAACCAGCAAAGATATCTTTAAATAACACCCCAAACTAGAAAAGGTTGCATGAAAAACTGGCTTGTTGGCTTGGCACCTGTGGCTCAAATGGCTAAGGTGATAGCCACATACACCTAAGGTGGCAGGTTCAAATCCAGCCCAGGCCCGCCAAATAACAGTGATGGCTGCAACCAAAAAATAGCCGGGCGTTGTGGCGGGC